TCCCCCCTTCCTCTCAAAGATGAAAGTAAACGGTCTTGGGCTATGAGGCCTTAAGTATATTATCATAGTTTTACAGTTATCTAAGCCAACAGATAAGCCTGATAGCTGCATGAGTTAGGTAGTTATTCCCATGGAAGTTTATAACTTCCATCAGAACAAGTTAAGTGCTGTCAGCAAAACATATATGCACTAAAAGAAAAATTATCCCTTTGTTCTTCAATAACCATAATTGCATTTTAATGGGTGTGAGCATTTACTGGGGACTATATAATGGCTTTGCAATCAGATTGACTATAACAAAGTTCATTTCTAAATAGTTTTTTTAGTGTCATATACCTATCAGTTTTACAAAAATGTGTTGTCCCACAGAACAAAAAGGATGGCAACCCAGTAAAAATATGAATAATTTTAGTTGGTTGGTACATTATATCTGTCAGACTTCATGTATCAAAGTGTTTGTGTTAAAAATTCAAACCTGTGATATATCTATGACAGTGTGGAGAGGCACTCTGGATGCTCTTCTCATATAGTAAGGGAAGAACAGGTTCCATATTGGATAGTTTTGTCATACACAGCCCCTATTTTAACCTCAAACTTAATCTTAAGTGTGTAGAAGCTGCTGACTCCAGAGTAAGCATCTACACAGTTGCCTTTCACAACTCAGCCCTTAGGACATTCAGCTAATGGAATTTCCCTCACATTCTGAAGCACACAGTCAATGTGTGGACAAAGATCTAGGAGAGGTTACATTGCTAAGCTGAGAGTCATACTGGAAAGAGGGATAATAATTCATAATTTTTGAGAAAGGATTTGGAGAGACATCTCAGTGATAAAGCCTATGCTTCTCTTACAGAAAACTGGTGCTCATTCCCTAACACCCACATGAGGCAGCTCACAACAACCTGAAATCACATACACTTCCAGGGTATCCTATTGTCTTTTCCGGGCTCCTGAGGTACTTACACACATGTGACATACATGTACACACACACACACACACAAATAGAGTGTGCGCGTGTGTGCATGCATGAGTCTCTCTTTCTCTGTGTGTATGTGTTTCCCAACTCACTTTTTTGTGGCTTTGATTTTGAATGGCATTAGTCCATTAGACAATGCTATAGAAGCAATTCAAGACAGTTTGTGGCTATTTCCAGACAGCTGAGTAACAGCTGGAGCACTAACATCTGTGAATGAGTCTTCATCCTCCTAGACCAGACTTGTCTTTGAAGGATCCGATCAGGGTAGAGTTAGAATGTCAAGAAAGGAGGTCAGGCAGGTAATATGACAAGCCGATGTTGTTCTTACGTAAGCTGACTCGCTCTTAATTCACAAAACAGTCTGAAAAGATGTGTGATGAAGCTGACTGCTGTCTAGACAGAGAGGGGAGTGCAAAACACATTAGAGAGACGCAGCAGCACAGTAGTGACAAGAAAAACCTGCTCCAGTTGCACAGACGCATGGGGGAAGGAATCAGCTAGTTCCTTCTTTATCTAAATATCTAATCCTAATGGGCCCGTATCTAGATCCTCGGGAATTTTCACTTTATTTTTAGAGCCTTAAAGCATCTGACTCATCCATAATAGGGAGGACGAAGAGGAAAAATAGATAAGAAGAATGGGGGAGTTGATGGAGAAAGAGGAAGGGAGGGAAGAAAGGATGGAGACAGAGAGACTGATGAGAGACCAGGAAAGAGGAAGAGAAGAGAGAGCAATAAAATCGGTTTAAATATTGTTCCAAATTTCAAAGGCTATTTATGTTTTAGCATTTGGAAAACATCCCTGACCGAGTCTTATAAAACTTATCTCTTGCCTCAGATGTACTATAGCCATGTGCGTTTTTCTGTTTCTATTTAACAGTGGTTAAAATCCAAATATTAGAGAAGCCAGCCCCCTACATTTATCCTATGGAGATGAATATACCAGCGGTTAGATCCAGCAGTCAACCAGGTCATGTAAGAGAAGGAAGTTGTAGTTTGAACACACACACACACACACACACACACACACACACACACACACACACACACACGCACACACGCATGCACGATATGGAAATTTCAAGGTCAACACAAGGGAAATATTTGGAAATTAGGAAATAAATCACACCTAGATTTGTTAGGCATACTCAGCTTTGTTTAAATACAAACTTGCTTTACAATAGGTTAGTCTAGTTCATATTCCGTCTGATTCACACAAGCAGTCACACGAACAGTCACTCCTGCGCTAATTTTTTTATTTGTTTAAAAAAGAACTATGACCATGGATTTTATTTAATACTGCATGACAAGTGTGGACTTCCCAAAGTGGAGTGTATTAATGCTGCATGGGAAAAATGAAAGGAAGAGCTCTAGTAGCTGTGGTAAATAAAATGGTGTCAAATGTATCAGAGGCCAGGAGAAGTCTGTCTTTTTTTAATAGTGCCTGACTACATTGTTTTCTTATAGTGAAAAATTTTCTTGAAATTTGCCAAGGTACACTTGCCTTTACCAGACACTGCTATTATGGCTGTGATGGGGGGGGGGCTTCTGTCCTCTTAAAATACTTTCAGATATAATTAAAGCAAGAGAAGAATAAGGGAGTTCAGCAAACATGGTAAGGAAAATCTTGTACTGAAGAGAAGTGCCTTCCATGCCCTCAATTTTCAGCCATGACACCTCTGTGTTCACCCAAAAGACATTCCAGTGAAATCTACAGGGAATCCGGAACAAATTTTATCAAATAACTCATGACCAACCTCATGCTTGTTAAAAGCAAAACAAGCTGCAACTGGAACACAAAGACTATACTACAGGAGTGGGGAGAGAATAGAGGCAGGGTGGAGGCTGTTTCCATGATCCTTCCTCATCCAAATTTACTTGTCTTCAGTACACTCTGAACGTTTTCTTTTCCTTTTTGGGGTGTGTGTACATGTGTTGTGTATGCATCTATGAGTTTGTTAGTATGGGAGTGTGCTCTTGTGTGTGTGTGCATGTCCGCAGAAAACAGGAGTTGGCATTGGGTGTCTTTCCTCGATAGTTCTCCACTCTTTATTCATTTATTTTTAAGTAATTTGTTCATCTTAATTTTGTATGTACTAGTGTTTGCTTGCATGTCAGTGCACCATGTGAGTGGAATGGCTGCGGAGGCCAGAAGAGGGCAGTGTAACCCCTGGGATAGGTACAGATGGTTATGAGCCACCTTGTGATTGCTAGGAGCCAAACCAGGGTCTTTGAGCTCTCTCTCTCTGTCTACCTTTACTTTGTAAAACAGGCTCTCTCACTGAATAAATCTCACAGATTAATAGGCTAGTTGGCCAATAAGGGTCAGGAAACCATACTTTTCTGCTCTGCCTGTTATTGGAGTTACAGTCACCATGTCGGGCTTTTTCTTTTTGTGCTGATTCCTGGGATTAGGTCTCAGGTCTGCACATTTATCACAGCAGGCACTTCGTCCCTTAGCTTCCCTCTGAATGCTTCCAATGCTCAAACACACACGCTCTCAAAACTAAACCACACAAGTGCAGACCGATGATTTGAAAATTAAGATGGTAGCTAACACATGCTTTTCTGGCCTCAGTTACAGAAGACATCTGACGAATTGTCCCAAATACAAAGTGTAATACCAAAAAAACAAGTTTAAACCCATCCAACTTTAGAATATTTTACTGTTATTTGTACTTAAACCACTGGAGGAGATAACTTGCCTATGTTATATGTAGTGGCCAAGGGAAATATTCAGTTTATCCTTTACGACAGACAATATGCCTACTCACCTTCTACTATTAGAAACAGTAAATGTAAAAGACTCACCCTTACCACCTGTATTGTTTCTATATGAACTCATACGAAGGATTTATCCCCAGATGTCCCATAGCACTATTCAATTTTATGCAAAGACACATCGCAAACAAAACATGGAGTGGTCTGTCTCCACAGCCTGGAAAGTGACTCCAGTTTTTGATGTGGTGTCTCCGACACTGAATGGGGTGGCATGCTCTAGTTGTAACTCAAAGCCACTAGATCAATTCCAGTCACTCCCTAAGGATGTTAAGAAGTATCTTTTAACTCTGAGTCCTAATAAGAGTGCATTCTACTTTTAATGACCTGATACTCAGATGTGACAGGCGCAGGGGCAGAGCACAGTACTGTGATCTGCTAGCACTAACAGGGACCTTCAAATTCCCAGGCAAGGGTCAGGGCAGGGCCATGGCTCCCAAGGCACATTTGGCAGGATCTGCTTGCTGCTGCAGCAGAAGCACAAACAGCAGAAACAGGGAAATGCCATGTTTTTCTAACCTCTGTGAAGAAATAGTGGGACTGTGTTTTGTATAGTGGGAAAAATAGAAAAAGAAAACAATCTTGAGGTGGTGGTGGGGTGTGCATACTATGAAGTACCTGGACACACAAATTTTGGGTTCATGGGGAGTCATAAATGTACAAGAGGTCAAGGGCAGAGGAACAGTTGGCCCCCACACTCCTGGATCACGGAGCACGGGTGAGGTCAGATGATCTGGTAATGAAGAGAGATCCCAGCGCATGGTGACTTGCCTCAAGCTTGTAGAACAGTAAAAGTTTATGACTCTAGTACACAGATGAGAGATGCCTGGGGCATCACTGTCTCCTCTTTGGGCTCACAGGCACTTTCTAAGCCGTGGACTATCTTGCGTGGTGGGTTTTGGTCAGCAAAAGCCTGCAACAGATTTCTCTTTTCTACTGGGGCTTCAGAAAGGTTTTCTTTTGGATTATGAGTCTAGTTAGCCTTCTGAGTATAAAATACTTCATTTGAAGAAGCCTTACGTCACCAAGGCCAACTTTCTTGTCTGAGCAGCATGTTTTACTAATAAAGATGACGAGGACTGCAGTGGACAGACCCCATGATAAAGAAGACATTGTTTTGAAGACGGTTTCATGTTTCTAAGGAATTGCAAACACATCATTCTGTGCGGTGTGTGGCTTGAAAATAGAAACAAAGATCTACTGAAACCTCAAAGATACATTACCCCCAACAGGAGAAAATGCTTACCGGGTTCAGCTGTTGATCTAGGTTCTGTTTGCATGAGAAAAGAAAAAAATGGGACAAGTATTAGAACAGGGTCTGGGGATAATTAACCTACCGCTTTGCTCTGCTCCCATTGCTTTGGCTAGGCCGTGTGTGTGGAAATGGTGAGGACCACCTCGGCATGGGACAGAGTTGAGGCAGCAGCCGTCCAGTTTACATTTCCACAGTACAGAAACATTGTGCACTGGGAAGTGTAAGATGATGTAATTCCAGACAGGCTTCCGACTTGTGAGCCTCTTAAAATGATTTGCCCAATTATGCGAGTGTGTGAGAATCTTTGTTCTAAAGAAAAGATCTATAGATGTCATCCACTTCAAAGAGGCTGCTGTGTTTCTGTTCCCTCCAGAAAACTGAGGTAGACCAATTCTTTTGTATACTTCACAAGTAGCATTTTGGAAGGGGTAGTGGGGGCAAATTCCAGCATTAACTGCCAACTCTACAAACATCTTGAGCAAAAAAAGAGCATCTACTCCGGGCCCCTTTAGTGCAGGCAGTGTTCCGTCGTCTAACAATGAAGGAACAGTTTGAAGGCATTATTTTAGAGAATTAGGCATTTCCTTTTAGGCACTCCAGTTGACAAACCAGCATAACACCATGTGAGCAACACTGTGTGACCAACAGTAGTTGGATAATGAAATCGATATGGAAGGATGATACTAGAAACTCGACATTCACATTGGTGTTTTTCATCAGCACAGGAACAATCACAGAGGTCTCTTTGATCCCATATTACAAGGTGTTGTGGCGGGGAGGGGCTGAGTCACACAGATTAACTTCCTCCCGCTCATTATGTTTATCTAGTCTCATCCCACCTTGAAAATACAAAGCAGCTCATCTGAGTTGAGTTCTTGTGAAGCCAGAGAAAATCAAACGGAAATGGGGGGAGAATGGACACCTCTTCTTACTTTTCTGGAGAATTCTGAAGTCTGGAGAGTCTTGGATTTCACTCCCTTGCCGGAACCACTGGACCTGCATCGGGGGTGCCCCTCTGACTCGGCATTCCAGGACGACCACCTGGCCCTCGGAGGCTGCTGTGTTCTGGAGTTCCTGAAATTTAAGAAGCGAGTGGCCCTCCTCAGACTTCACATCCCCGTAAACAGTCTCACAATAGAGAAGAAAGCTGCCAAACCTTAGACAAAACCCCAAACACAGAGGAACAAAACCGTTGTCAGAAAATGATCCCTGTGGACTCAGGTGAGGATGAACACCTTGTTGTCCACTGGTCACCAGCTTTTCATGATTTCTGGGTCATGAGATTAGGAGAGTTTACCCTAAGGCCTGTGGCACCCTTGTGGCTGTTTACAGATTTGCCCGGGCCAGGCTTCTTGTTTGTGGAATGTGGTATAACAGCTGCCACTTTCCTTTATCTACATTTAATGGTAAGCTGGTGGAATGCAAAACTCTCGAACGATTATATTCCGCATGACAGCAGGTCCTTAGGGAAGCCAGAGAAGAGTAAAAAGACAAGCGTTTGTTTTGGCAGGTCCCACCCGTTCATGCACTATCCACCACCTCTGCCTGACCAGTTTCCTGTGTCCAGTTCATGAAGCTTTGGCATTTTCTCATTTCAAGACTCTGTATCAAATAATGAAAGTTGCGGCATGTCTTCCTTATTGACCTCTGTTTCCGCCTCCCTTGAAACTGCCTTGTTACCCTTACCCCACTCCAAATGCAGACTAATAAATTTTTATGATGCCTAAGATAAATTAACTTTATGGATGCAAAAGAAGTGAAGTTTTTGTGCTTGTTATTAAATGCCGGAACATTAAAAATTCCCTTATATATATCCTCTCTCTCTACCCCTCCCGCTCCAAGATTAACTAGTCATAGGGGCTATTTATACGTTCAGACTATTTGAGAATTTGACTGGACTGTTAGACACCTTATAATATGTGTAGGTCTTTTACAATAATTAAGTCATGATAAAACAAAAGGTACCTACAAACAAGCTCATGCACAGAATTCACTAGGAAGTGTGTGGACTTTGAGCAAGTTTGTTTTGTTTTGTTTGAAGGGGCTGAGGAGTAACAGCTAGTCGCAAATCTTATAGCAAATGGAGAAAAAAAATGCCTCAGCAAATGTCCTACAGGATATGTGTTAAAGCACTGGCTGTGGCTGTTGTAAAAGCCTACCATGTTTGCTAATGAATTGTAAGGAAGATAGCTTGCTTGGGAAGTTAATGAGACTATCTTTTATATATATATATATATATATATATATATATATATATTTCAGGGTTATCAACTGCTGGCATTGGAGATGCAGCTTAGATGGTAGAGAGCTTACTCACTATGCATGAAATCTCAAGTTTGATCTTTCGCTCCAAAGAAAACCTAGGCATAGTTGCTTATGATTTTAATCTTAACAACTCAGACAGAAGCGATACTGGACAATCAGAAGTTTAAAGTCATCCTTAGTTATATTTTGAGTTTGAGGCTAGCCTGGGCTACATGTGACTAGGGGTAAAAAACCCATTAATGGCTGAATTCCTTTCTCCATTTGTAATTTTAAGTGTAGAAAATAGACGGCTTTAAGTGTCTTTTCAGTTTTTGCTGTGTTTGCTCACTGTGTGTGGGACTGGGGTATGTAAGGGCCAGAGACAGCTTGCAGGAGTTGGTTTTCTCCTTCTACCATGTGGTCCCAGGGAATGAACTCAGGCTTGGTGAAAGCGCCTTTATCAGATGATACATCTTGCTGGCTTTTAAGTAAATGTTTTGTAGTTTATGATTGCAGCCAGAGATGAGTTAATTTAGGGTTTCAAAGCACAGTGTGCGGTCCAGCTTCTATGGGCCAATCTACGAAATGGTTCCAGCAAGCCATTTCTGGTACATAACAAATGACACCCAAATATTTTTCATGCTTGGGCTTTTAGGCATCAAAGGAGATTAGATTTATTCCTAAAATTATGTGGCTTTTTTTTCTTTTGTCATGTTCGAAAGTAAGAGTGTACCAAATGAGTGGATGCTTAGAGACAAAGGCAGGAATCTGATTGCTCCTGAAGTTTGGTTACAGCTTGCCCTCTTCTGTAGTAACACACACACACACACACACTCACACAGAGAGAGAGAGAGAAAGAGAGATACACTCATCATTGATGTTTAAGCCCAAGTAAACCCTTAAGACAACCTTCAGCAACATAAGCAGAAGCCCTCACAATGATGAGAACCAGCCTTCAGAGGCTTGCTTAGCTGCCTGGAGGATCACTCAGTGTAGCATCTGGGATGTTTTAGGATCCATATAAAGACCTCTCATCACAGATCATGCTCACTTGGCATTGCGATTCCTTGGAAGGGTCTAAGGGAAGAAAAGCCCTCTGGAGTAACCTGTGAACATCCCTGTTGCCACAGTCTCACAGTCCTTACCAGCTCTGCTGTGGGAGCGAACCCTACTATTCTGCAGGATTCCCAAGCAGGGATGTTGGGAGCCTTTAGAGGAACATGAAGAAAAAGATAGAGACATCCAACCCCACCTGCCATGTGCTGTCACCACCATGCACAAGAGGAATGCCAGAGAAAGGGCTCGGGGTGACGAGTCCAAGGGTGGTCTGAGTTAAATGACACAGCATCGTTGTCTAAACCTGCAGCACTAAACCTGACTTAAGAGGTTGCTGCAGGCCAGAGGGCATCTGCCTAATGGGAAAGGGGAAAGCACATGCAGGGAAGGAGGAGCCCTACAGGAAGAAGGCATGGTACCCCACACACCACGGCAGAGGGCACAGACATACACGTTACTTCCGCACGCCATCTGCCTTTGACTCCTTAAAAATCAACGGACGTTAGGCACTCTTTTCCAGCCACGTTGTTAGTCAATAGCACACTTGGTGATTTGCTTTATGTGGTGGTGGTGAAATAATAACTACTAACAGTGTCTGTGTCCTGGCAGTTGGACTCCAATAGAAGAATCTGAGGTGTCAGTTCTAGATTTTGAGGATCTTCTTGGTGTCCAGGAACAGTCAAGAGCATTTACAGATGCCAGGCATTGGACAGAGGAACCTTTTGACCTTGTTGTGGTGGGGACAACAAAATGGTACCTCCGTGTTTCCTCCTCCCGTACCTGCAACACGGGGTTTGATCTGTTTAAATGAAGAGCCATGTGAATGCTGGGCAGAGTTTGGAATCGCAGAATTGAGAAACCTGGCTCAGGAAGAGTGTGAGTAGGAGGTTAGCCTGGTGAACAGTCTTCCAGAGATGCCCTTGAGCTGGCTCTGAAAAACTTACACTTCCTATTGCCTGAGAGTGTCCTCCCATCTAAGTGGTCCCTGCTCAGAGCATCGGAGGAAAATGTCACCAGCTGTTAGAGACTCAGGTTTGTTAGGCTCTTAAAAGACTTCTTTTGCTTTTACTGTTGCTAGGTGTTTTGGAGGGAGTTTCAACAATTAGCGTGTTTTTTCTATGCATCCTGGAAATGGTGAGTGTTTAGGAGCGCGGATTCCCTACATGAAAGTAATAAAGAGACTTTTGCCGTGACCACACAGACATTCCTTCTCTGGCTCTTTTCTTTCTTGAGTCAGGTTCACAGTCCACAGTCAAGGCTGGCCTTGAACTCACAGAAGTCCTTTTACTACAGCCATCAGAGTGCAGGGATGATACGGGGTGGGGGGCGGGAAGCGCAGCACTCAGGCTTCCTCACAGAGATTTTAAAGATTTGTTTACTCACTTATCTTTAGCTTACTTACAATACATTTTTTTGTGTTTAGTGTGGAGTCCAATTAAAAAAAATTAATCCCACTGAAGAATTCATTGTGTCCCCAAATGATTTCTGTGTTCCTATAGTTATTGAAATATCTCTGTAGGTGCTGTTCTAACGTCTCAGCAATTTGATGAGACTTGTGTTTTTATCTAAAAGTGTTTTGGATGGGTATGTGTGTGTGTGTGTGTGTGTGTGTGTGTGTGTGTGTGTGTGTTTACAATACATGGGGTAATCTTAGGCATAAGACCTCTCCTAGTTAGTTAGATTCTGCTATCAACTTGGCGGCACAGCCTAGAATTACCCCAGTGAGTTTCAGATGAGGGATCACTTCCATCAGACTGTCCTGCATGCCAGCCAGTGTGACCTTTTCTTGATTACCAATTGATGCAGGAGATGTCCCAGCCCACTGTGGGTGGTACTATGCCCTCGCAAGGGGTTTTGAACTGTATAAGAAAGCTAACTGAGCAGAAGCTAGGGAGTTAGCCATAAGCAGAAACAATCCCTTGACTTCTGTTTGAGTTCTTGCTCGCACATCCCTCAGGGACAGGTCAGGACCTGGAAGGGAAAGCCAAGTAATCCCTTTCCTCCCCAAGTTACTTTTGGCCATGGTGGTTATCACAGCAACAGAAAGCACACTAAGCCAAGACACAAGCACACGTGAAATTCATTAATGTTTCCTAAATACCTCATACATGCATCCCAAGGAAGTTTTAGACTGTGCTTTTAGTATACCTGTGTGTTGACTGAGACTTGGCACATGAGACCAACTGTAAGATTTTTCCACTCAAGGCTTTGGTCCATGTTCAAACTTTCAGCTTTTAAAGCATTTCAAATTAGGGCTGCTCAACCTTTATTATAACTCTCAGACCCTTAGGAAGACTTGACATCCTATAGGACAAATTTACTTCTCACCTAACACTGCCCTGTTCATTTCTTCAGTAGGACTCCCTGGCTATTTGTAGCCACACACACACACACACACACACACACACACACACACACACACACACACACCTTATAACTCTTAGAACCAGGTTACTAAATTCTATAATGAATAGAAACAAAACAAGAAATTTGTTGGGAGTTCAGCTAAATTTGCATTAAATATATCTGGGGACAAAGGACTTCATTAGTCTTTTGGCATGAAAAGGGCTCATCTTTCCTCGTATTTGGTCTTTTAAAATACCTTTCAATTAAGTCTTAGACTTTCCCCCAAAAACAAAAGGGAAGAAAGAAAATCCGCATGAGCTGGTGGCTGACTCCTGCAGCCATCCAACAACACAAGACTCATTCAGCTTGGCAATGTAAATTACCAACTTAAGCCGAATGAAAAATTAGGTTTCTTGTTTCTTTGTTTGCCTGCTTGCTTATTTGTATTTTTTTTCCCGTAAAAGTTCCTAGATCTTTCAAGAGATTTCATTGGGAGTAAAAAAAGAAAATTGATTAATTCTTGGGATTCACTGTGCAGACCAGTCTTGTCCTCACACTTTTAAAAACCCTTCCACGTCTGCCTCCAACTGCTGGGACTATAGTCATATGCCCAGCTATAAGAAAAGAAAAAAATTTAAACACTGAATTATATCTTATTATTTATACCTCTCTTGGCTTTCCCACTAGACAGATACCTGGCTTTACCTGCTCACAGTCCTCTTTCTCAAACCTTGCATAAGAAAATAGTCACACAGTCATTACTCAACCAATACCTTCCTATCCCCTAAGGTAACCATGATGATCTGCCTATTAATATCTTCATTTCAAACCTTAAAGGCTGCTCCATAAAGTCACATGTGAATGAAATTTAAGGACTAAAGCAAACATGGAGAATGAGACTTCCAGATGTCAGACCTTAGTAAAAACAGGAAGAAGACAGCCCATGGTGGCTCCATCAGGTCGGCAGAGATACGAAGTCGGACTGTGAACCTGAAAGAGTAGAGACACATGGATCGGATTCTCAATGTATAAATCTCTGAAAAGATGGACTAAAGAAACCTTTCATTACGGGGGCTGCTCCACTTGAATGAATGGCGTGTGTGGAGGTATCGCCATACGCCAGCTGCTATTCTACTCGTACAGCAGACATTCTCTCCTCATTTCACATCTGTTCCTCTTCTCTGTTCAAAAGGATATTGGAGGTAAGAGTTCCCCGGGTCCTGGGGGAACCTGAGGGCTTTTAAATGCTATTACCAAATGGATTTCTGTGTGTGGGACTTCCACAGGGGTCTGGTTAGACGTTCTCACGGACTCTATATTTTATTTTAAAATACAGTCTGGATTCATTGAATCAAAAGGATAAGCTATTGGCAATGAAGGGCAAAGTAAATTATGGAAACCCTGTCGACCTTATTTTTAATGTGAACTCTTTCAATAAAGGAGGACAGGAAATATAGGGGAAAGAAATGAAACTCATTTGCTGCTGCATAAAAAGCTCAAGGTAATGAAAAGTTTGCTGAATAGCATTCATCTCAGGGGAAGTAAAAGGTTTCATAATTATGAATGGAAAATAAAAAGCAGTGAATGAAAATGTGTGTGTTAAATTGCTTATTTTCAAGTAGTCTGGACTTATCCACTTATAAATGGATAGCAGTCTGATACCACGTGTCTGAATATACCACGGGACATCACAGTGCCGTGGAGATACTTCGGCAGTGACAGACCTTATTCATTGTCCCTGGAAGACTTTTTACTGGCTTGTCATTTGGGAGGTCTGTGTCTCACTTTTCACTCTTTGGCATCCAAAGAATATATGGATATATTTATAGTATTGTTCCATGTCAGACATCATTGTAAATGTCATATGGAGACCAACTCAGAGACTCTTCATAACACTGCCTAGAGACTGCTGGCACTACAATGTTCACTCTGTAGATGAAGGAATTAGGCCCAGAGAGGTTGTGCTATTTGCTGTGCAGACATGAGGACCTAAGTCCGAATCCCTACCATCCATGTAAAAAGCCATAAAAGGCTGTGTGTCCGAAATGGAGGAATGGAGACAAGTACACTGATTTATTGAGCGGCCAGTGTAGCTGAAACTGTGAGCATCCAGGCCAGGGAGAAACCCAGGCACTCTGGCTTCCAGTTGATAAACTTTCCATCTCATTGCCTGCCAGGAGGAAACAATGAGCATCTCCATGTCACGTATTAAACCAGGAAGCACTACCCAGTGTTCCTGCAGAAATAAAACCAATACACTCTTGTGTCTACTCGTCAACATACATCTTTCTATTCTGTGTTTCACAGTGAATTTGGCCATGTTGAGAAGTATCTCAGGTTCTCCCCAGACAAGTCTGTAAATTATGAAGGAGTGTAGCTGATGACTTCTTCTTTCTGCTACGAAATGTTTAGCACAACGCTTAGCATCCAAGTAAACTCATGTCAATATTTAAAAGTCATGCACTTGAATCAAAACTACCCATGGATTTGACGAGATATAATTTTTAACCAATGTCACTCTGGTTCAGTGGTTTAAAGGAACCATCTATTGTATCTGTCATTTCTGGGTCACTTATCCCTGTTGATTCTTGTCAAGTTTATGATCACAAATGTCTTTTCTCTACATAGTCTACATGTTTCTCTACATGTTCTTTCATGTTCTACATGTTACAAAGTATGTGTGGCATGCAATAGTTAATTATGGACAATATTATGGGTAATAAAAGCTGATGGAAGGCATGAGGATACATATGAGACAAATCTCTTCACTAGGAATGAATTCACCTACTAAGAGTGTTAGGGAAGCCTTCTATCACATTGCTTTCTTAAATACATTTTTTTACTTAAAAAGCAATAGCGTTTGTAAAGTAAACTTACCACAGTTTACTTCCTGGTAATTGTTCTTTCTTTGATAAAGCAGTCTTGCACTGACGTTAAGCCAATATTTTAAAACAGTATAGTGAAGTCAAAGATTGGACTTGTCTTTTTCTAAACCATACTGTTTGGCCTTCAGAGACTGGAAAAGTTCCTGATGGTGTGTGCACTTTACTGGTCTCTCTGAATAAGCTAGTGACATGGGCTAGCTGGATGAAAGGACAGAGAGGGAACACACTGGAGGAATGTTAAACAGAGCTAAGGCAGACTTCATCATCCTCTCAGAGCTGTGTGAATGTAACTGTTGGCTGACTGTGTGCTTCTGGTTACAGATTATTCCTACTGGACTAAAATGAGACCATTAACCTTAGGTTTTTCTTCCTTTGATTGTATTTTTTACTCGGGAAATATCGCAAGGGGATGTGTCCGTTAGATTCAAAGTCCTCTTCTTAAAACAGAGCAGCCTGCTCTGGAAATCAGCTCCTTGCAGGTTCAAGGCACAATTACCTGTTGCACAGGCACAGACAAGGGCTGAATCACAGCTGTGGTCACTCCTGTCTTGGGAGATGAGGATCCTATTGTCAAGGAAACAGAAGTTGTTTTCTTTTGAGCTCTGCGAAATAGAGAAGTAAGTGTTAGATTATTTATTTATTTTTTAATCAGCAATTAAAAAAAAATAATCCTACAGAAGACCCGGGTTTCTTTTTGTAGACTCAGTCTTCTATTAAAATTTGTTTCAGAAGTTGGAACTCATTAAAACAGCTAAGAGAGCTGTGTGGTCAGTGCATGGACAGAATGGACTTTAATAAACACACAGATGAAAGAAAAGTAGCCAGAGGCAACTCACACTGATAAAAATGTCTAAGGTATTATCCTTAAAAAAATCTCAAGAGAAAATAAAAACTGGGAGAGCTCCAGTCTTTATCAGTAGGCAAACATTTGACATCTTTATGGTTAGGGTCCTATATTTAACTTAGTTTTAATGTTTATTTTAGGGCTAGCAGCTGTCCTTTGCACTGGCCTCTAATTTCATTGAGAGTAGCTTGGAATTTCTGTCTTTGTTCTCAGGGTTTTAATGAGGAGGAAGGGAAAGATCCAGAAGAGTCAAATTCCAGGCTCAAGGTGGCCCAGAGGGTGTGAAGTCTTAACTTGAGCTCTAACTTCAATCAGGACAGGTAAAGTGGACAACGGCACAGACTCCTTTCACATCTGACATTATCTGATGCTGAGTGGACATGACTTTTCAAATTACATATGACTGTCTTGTTATTGTAATACTCTTACAACACAGCATTTGCACTAATGAGTAGGAATCGATTGAGGCAAATTAGCACATATACATATATGTATTACTGTTATGCATTTACTAGCAAATGAAAACATTTGTTAGCACATCTCAGCAATAATGGAGCTTTCTCCCAAATTCAGGCAGACTTGAAGGTGCTTTTGCAAAATGAAGGAGACAGTAACATTTTATTAGTAACCCATATCTCTGTGAGGATAAGCAAATTCTCACCTTTTTAGATACAAGGTCTAACTAGTTAGAAGATTTTTATATAAGAGAAAACCCTTTTCTGGTCCAACTAGACATTTTTGATCCTCATTCCCACCTCAGCAGTAGCCTAACTGGTTTTGTTCTTGGTGTGACTGGCCTTGTCATTTACTTACAATCGTGTCCCTGGCTGTCTCTGAAGCTAACACAGTTTTGGCATACTCATGATGAAATACAGATTTCCACCGTGTAAACTTACTCGAAGTCAAAAATTGTGTTCCAGCGCAAACACTCCATCTCTGATGGACATAACTCGGCCTTTCCCAGCCCAGCACACCTGGCTTCAAAACCCAACAGCTGTTACCCTTCCTTGTCACATCAGGGGACTCAAAGACACTCACTGTGGCATAGCTCCAGCTTTTGATGTGAAAGGTAAGCTCTCACTGTCAGAGTCCGTTGAACTGGCTCCTGGGAAGACATTAAAAATCAAGACACACTTAGGACGTAGGCGGTATCAGCATCTAGAAGAATTCCAAAGAGTGATGGTCTTCATTTGTAAATAGTAATATGCAACGTCTTATTTGTGCTACAAATACCCATGGAAGTCAAGGAGGATTCATTGTCAAATCCCTCTCTATTGTTTCTTCAGAAGATAATCTTTTCAAAGTACTATTAGCAGCTTGCTTTGGACCACGGTGCTTGCAGTGTTGGGTTTACTACTAGCTTCCGTTTTTAATCACTTAGGCCATCTCAAGCCATCCTTTCACGTGGCTAGAAAGCTATGAGACAAATGTGAGTGTCTTTGTGGAAAACTGCCCGTGGGTTTCAACTTTGGCCCTGGGACATCACACGGTGTGGACTGCGGATATCTTCAGCACCTCACTCATCAATCAGACGGAGTTTCCCGGCTCTTCACGCGTGTGATGGCGGCTTCACTACCAAATCAATAGGCTCTTTCACCTTTGGATCACACCCTCCCAAACTCATTTTGTTCCCGAATTAAGGGCCACCTGTTGTGATTTTAGCTTAGGTGAAACCGTACTTGATTTTTAAAAGCAGTTTGTTTTGTGAGCGTGTGAGTGTTATGGTGTGTGCAGTTGAGTGTGTGTGCATTCATACTCATGACCACGTGCAGAAGTGGAGGCCAAGGAGGGATGGCGACTCCTCTCCTGCTGCTGTCTGCCTGATTGACTTGAAGCAGGGTTTCTCCCTGGCCTGGATGCTCACAGTTTCAGCTACGCTGGCTGCTCAACAAATCAGTGTACTTGTCTCCATTCCTCGGAAACTAGGGTTTCGGACACTCACAGCCTTTTATGGCTTTTTACATGGGTGGTAGGGATTCAGACTTAGGTCCTCATGTCTGCACAGCAAGCATTCTTCACTGAGCCATCTCCCCAGTCCTTGCGCTCAAAGTATCTAAACGTTTACTTTTATCGTGGTGTGTGTGTGTGTGTGTGTCTGCACATTCGAGTGCATGCATGTGCACTGCGCCTGTGCCTGTGCCTGTGGAGGTCAGAGGACAACATATCAAAGTTAGTTCTGTCTTGGCATCTTATTGGATCCTTGAACCCACACCTGAGTGCAAGGGCCTCTGCCGGTATACGAAACCATCTCACCACCCTCGAGTTTCAGTGTGGACCGATTTGGTATCAAGAGATTTTAAGTAGCAGATTTGAATTTCTGATGTTTCCTTTATAATAAAAATTTCATTGGGGGTATTCAAATTATCTTATAGTCCATGCTTATATGACCAAAATAGATTTCATGCATGTATATTGTCAAATAACTAGTGAACATGTATTTCAAAATATAATGAAATTTACATTATTTTAAACAGTAACAGTTTAAATTATTTAAACATTTTAAAGATATAATGAAAATATATTTTAAAAATCATCATGAAGCTCAGAATTATGGAAATTATGTGAGGTCAGTGGGTGACCTCCTCGTCACTATTTGGTATATACTTGGCATATGTTTTCAGTTTGGTATATGGACACACATAATTTGTGTACACAGGCAGAAATTGACCCATTCTCAGTAAACCTCACCCACAGGACTTTTGCTCATCAGCCACATAGAACATCTAGGTACACTCAATCCGCTTGGATGACTGTTTGAATTCCCTCCCATGCCTCTACAGCAAGTCTCTCAGGTCTTTTGTTGACCTTGAAAACAGTCCTGCTGAGGTAACTCTGTTGGAATGTTCTGTCCTTTTCTGCTTTTTCACCTGGTCCAGGCACTGCCACAAAGGCCTGTCTTTCCCTTTCTTTCCCTCCCAAACCCAGCCTTCTCTTAGATCAGATTGATTTTTCCTAGCACACACCTTTCCTGCTAAGGCACAAGAAGCTGCCGGAGTCTACATGAGCACTCCTCATATGTGACATGCCACTGGCTTGGTGTTCTTTGCCAGAAGTTCCGGTGTTTGCAAGTCACGAGATCCTGACCCACAGAACTCTTTGGCGAACACTGCTTAGGCAGCCGGGATGTGTTTCCAAAGAAATTCAGCATATACACAAACCCTTGTAGAGCCCCGTTCTTGTGAGCACACAGACAGAGGGGTGAGAACCGAATACCTTATATGGCAAATTCGGGAAAAGACAAAGCAGGAGAGCCGTGTGGGCAGTGAGGAATGGAGTGGGCTTGCCGTTCCAAGGAGGGAGCAAGGAAGGCTCCAAAGGATGAGGGGGAGGGAGAGGGCGGCCTGCCTGGCCCGGTTTCAGTTCCCTTGTTTGTGTCTGCGTTTCTGTCACTCACTTTTCCTAGGAGGCACACTCGCTCTTCGGGCGTTTTTTGCTGTCGTCTCTGGATTCTCAGTGCTTGTGTTTACACCACGCAAAACACCTGTCCTTCCTGCTGGCAAATTACCAGTCCTCTGGGAACTGAGGTCAGGTGAAGACAGGAGGCGCCAAATTGTGAATATTTAATATTTATTCAACACTCAGCTGGGCTCGTAGCATCATTGGGTTATTACATCCCATTAGAACCTCACCAACAAGTTAGGCTACATCCAGTTCACAGGCAGGAAAACGGAAGAACCAGGCTGGTAATAAGTTCCCAGAGGTGGTGGTGGGCTTCACTCTTGTTTTGAATGCCCTGTACTCATTCTCTGACCTACTAGGCTGTGCATATCTGGATTCCTCAGAGTGCTTATTTCCACGCTCGCTCGCCGGGAGCTGGCCTTTAGCCTCTGGCAGAAGGACTGCATGCATGCGGTTAAAGCAGCAGTTGAGCCCAGTTAGATACATAGGGCAGGGTTCGAGACTAGAGCTGAAGGGCCTGGAGTTTGTTGGCAGGACACCGAGGGTGGTGATGGGAACGGGATTGCTGGATTAGCGGGGTGGGGGGGGGGGGGATGGGGAGGTGAGGTGTTACATAGGGAAAAAAAAAGGCAAAGCACACGGCAGCCACAGAAGCAAGCTTCTGAGGAGGAGGAAGCTCTCACTGGGATGTGGAGGTGGGCGGGGCTAAGCAGGGGGAAGCCCCAGGAATGGCTGTTATCAGCATGGGCTGGGCTATTCTTAATTGGAATCATAAAACCTACTGCGAGGGGAGCAAAGTCCTTCAGATAAGGTCCCCAGGCAGGCGCAGAGTCATCAGAAGTATGAGAGAGAAGCAGCTATTCTCACCTGACTCCAAACATTCCTACCATGCAAAAAAATATGATAAGTCTCTTCTGATTTCTATTTTAAAAGTCACTCTTGTTTAAGAAAATTAGTGTTTAGAGGAACAAATGTAGCACACGTGTAGGTCAGAGGACTACTCTATAGACAGTTCTCTCCATCCAATCAGTTATGTAGGTTCTGGAAATTTCCAGCTCTTTGTGGTAAGTACCTTTACTTGATGAGCCATTTTGCTGGTCCCACTAAAAAGTAATTCTTTTAGTGGGTGTGGTGGCTTACACCTCAATTTCTAGCACTTGGGAAACTGAGGCAGGAGGATAGGCTTGAATTTAAGGTTAATCTGGACTACTTAAGGAGTTGAGTCCCACCCAGAATAGCTTCAACTAGCCTGACCCTATCTGAACAAGAAGGAGTAGGAATAGGAGGAGGAGGAGGAGGAGAAGGAGGAGGAGGAGGAGGAAGAAGAGGAGGAGGAGGGGGAGGAGGAGGAGGAGGAGGAAGAAGAAGAAACAACAAAAGACTTATTCTAAGAGGAGCCAGGCATTATAACATAGGACTGGAAAGTTGAATCCTACCTAGCACCGGAGGATTTTTGAGAGTTCATGACCACCCTGGACTACAACAGGAAATCTTGCCTTAAACAAAGCAAAGACGGACAGACAGACTTTCTTGGGCTGTGCTATAGCACGTATGCAGAGCACCCGACTAGCACATGGAAGACCCTGGGTTTGATGGTCTAAGAAAGATAATCAACGGTAAAACTATTAGTGTCTCTGGAGTGCTTTCTGCACCGGTCCAGGCCTTGTGGACTGCCAACGTCACCTTGTGCCACGGGTGCCAAAGCCGCTGTGACAGGCTGTACCAGACCAAAGCCTCACTGTGTCAGTCACTTCCTTTCCCTCACCTGAGGATAACCTCCGCCCCTCCCCTCAAGTCTGCCCTTGTGTGTTAGCGGCTGATGCGAAAAGAGGGATGTTTATGACATGGATAGACGCTTGGGAGGCAATAACATCAACTAAAAAGAAGCAAGCCAGGTGTAAAAGGCTATTTAAAGTAAAGGACACACACACAGGAAAAAATAAGTAATGGCAACATAACTAAAAGTGACTATTGGGTTGGTGCTATAGCGGGTACTCAGTATGCTGAAAACCCTGGCTTCAGTTCCCAGCAACACATGTGTACACACAGAGAGAATACAGGGCAGTCAGTCTAGGCATGACTTTATTTTATTTGTGTGTGTGTGTGTGCATGCACGCATGCTTTGGATTTTTTTCAAAGAAAAATCCTATTTTTATGATCTTCAGAACGTCCAGCGTCGCACACCAGGCAACACTCCACGATCAACTCCCTCTGTCCTGACAATGATCTAACTTGGAAGCACACAGCCACTATGAAAGGCAGAGCAATCCATTGGCTTTTCATAAAGGGTCAGGAAAAAATGATTTTAAAATATATAATATGAAGAACAATCTAAGGTATTTTCAGCTTTTTCCTGTTCTCTTCATGAATTTTCGAATCTAGCAGAGGGATGTGTTTGCAAATCCATGGGATGTTAGACCCTGGTGCATCACAGTGGTCTGGCATTTGGGGTTTGACCTCCTAGGGGGCAGAAGGAACATTTGTCCATGCAACATCATGGCTTACTTCCAAATCTCACTAGCCTGGCTTCTTAGCATGGAACGAATACAAACCAATGTCAAGCAGTACCTGCCTCCTTGTATCTCTCTCTTCTACATTCCTGCCCAACCTCCCCGTCTTCAATGCTGACTTCCTGTCCTCTCCTCCAGATCCACATTCTTCATGCCCACAAGGTCTAGTTCAACCCAGCTTCCTTCATCCCACACTTCAGAGCCACCACCCTGCCTTCTTCAGAGTCCTTAAAGTTATACCAATCCCTATAATTCATTTTACAACGGTAGGAGAAGGGAGTGGTTAAAGTTGGGATGAATTTATTTCACATGTTTATTTTTCCTATTTACACATTCTTAAGTTATTCCTTTACTCTCTAGCACAGGAGGGGCACCTCTTTTCCTTGTCCTGTACCATGTGAGCCACCTTCTCCTCCCACTTAAAGAATTCATATCTTACTCTCCCTCTCTTCTGCTTGATCTAGGTTTTTCCCTTAGTATGTCTTTTCATCAGCATATAAACATATTCTAGTAACTCCTGCCAGAAAATTGACTGCCAACAAGCCATGAATACCCTCTTCCAGAGACTGCCAATATTTCTGCTGGTGACTTGGTAAAGCTTCCCAAACGACTGTCTAATATCTACTACCGATTTCATAGTTGGCAAACTTTTTTCAACTCCTTTCAACTCTTGACACCCTGCCCCCACCCCTAATTCCCTCTTGCTGCAATCACCAACAATGCCCAGCTCACTAAAGTCAGTGTTTGCTCTCGGACCTCATCTGATTTCTCAGCAGAAAAGTCTGCTGGCAAGTCCCTCCTTCCTGAAGCTCCTCCCTTTTCCTAATGGGATGGTTAGTTCTAACTGTCAACTGGATGCAATGTATTTTCTGGAAGACAGTGGGAAGTTGCTTTGATCAGGTTGGTCTCTAAGCATGTCTATGGGGGGATTGTCTTAATTACGCTAATTGATTTGGCAACAACCAGCTCTCTGTGGATGGTACTATTCCCTAGGCAAGGGCTCTTCAACTGCTAAGTGTAAGGAGCAAATTAAGCAATATGAAGCTCACAAGCATTCATTTTTGTTTGCTCGTGACTATGGATGTCATGTGCCTAGATGCTTCAAGTTCCAGACGCCTTGCCTTTCCGGAATTCTGAGCTAAAACAAACCCTTTCACCTCTAAGCAGCATTTGTCCCCATCACCTGACTGATGATGTACAGGTACCTTGGATTTCCTTTGGTTCCTTCTGGTCTTCCCCACCCCAGGACCTTTGCATGTGTTCCCTCTGCCTGGAACTTCCCCTGGCGTTCTTGCTCTTCTCTCTTGGTTTCAGGTCAAAAGTCAACTCTTCAGGTCTTGGATTTTAAAGAGGTTTCTTGGGTCCTTCTTTCTTCTTCCTTCTTCCTCCTCCTCTTCTTCCTCCTCTTCCTTCTTCCTCCTCCTTCTTTCATCTTCCTTCTTCCTCCTCATCCTTCCTTTTTCTTCTTTTGGAGTGTGAGCTTCAGAATGGCTATGTGTTCACTAATGTGAGCTGCAGGTTGGGACCAGTGTCGATTGCATGATGGTTATTAAACATACATGTGAGGATAGCCAAGCAAAGGTCACCGTGCCCTGAAAAATGCTGGGAAAGCAGAGCAGGGCAAGGGTCACAGCCGCCCCAGGGATAGTGAGAATTTCCTTTTCTTTTTCTTTTTCTGGAGCAGCAAGGAAGAGGCAGATTGCCTGGGTTTGAATGCTTACAGGTGAGCATGCAAGCACGCACACACACACACACACACACACACACACACACACACACACACATTATTTAACCCCTTAAATTTGCTTCCTCAGCTATCCATCCATAATTTTATTTATTATTATGTTATTACTATTGATATTACTATTGCATGTGCGCATGCACATCCACGACAGCACATATACCATAGCACGTGTGTGTGGAGGTCAGGAGAGAACTCTTGGGAGTCTCTTCTCTTCTGCCATGTGGATCCCAAAATCAGGTTGTCAGGCTTGGCAGCAAGTGACTTCAGTCGTTCTGCTGTCCGATGGGCCCAATCAATGGGATTTAGAATATTTCCAAATAGTAGGTTTTGAAACATTCAGAAAAGGTTTTTGTTGATATTTGAAACCCTGCTACAACTTCTTTGCTTCTGATAGACATCTAGTGGTTCCTTGCTGATGTAGAATTAGCAATGCATTTGAGCAAGGCTTGAATCTAATCAATGCTGGAATTAGTGAGTGCAAACATTTTTTATTGGGACTCTCTGTGAGACTAAGAATGTACCCGCCCTTGACTCCATTTCATGTCATTGCTCTCAGGGATAAATATGCACTTAAAATTTTCACTTGAAACTTTAATTTTCATCCATATTTAACAAGATCAATGATAGGCAGTTTCTGTAGTAATTTATGTTATTCCTAGGCAGATGAATCTTACTGGCTCCTTATCTAGCTTTGCCCATCTCCTTTTTTTTTTTTTTTTTTTGGTTTTTACGAGACAGGGTTTCTCTGTATTGTTTTGGAGGCTGTCGGTCCAGCCCAGTCTCGAACTCACAGAGATCCGCCTGCCTCTGCCTCCTGAGTGCTGGGATTAAAGGCGTGCGCCACCACCGCCCGGCTTGCCCATCTCCTTTATCCTCCTTTCAATCTATCTAAGGTCCCATACCCTTTAAACTCACAAAAACTGATGACGGGCACCTAAGAAAATTTAGTGAGTATCATGAGAAAACCGTACATAGGAAAAAAATCAATTTATTTCTACCAAGCCTCCAAGCAAATGAGGCATTGCATTTTAAGGTGTTTTGAATGAACAGAGCTCATAATCTGCAGACAGGTTTCCTTTGGCCCCCCCTCACTAGGTTCGAAAATGCCACAAAAAGTTCCCTATAGAGCCAGACCATTAGTGGCACTTACAATAACTCATTAAGAAATGAGAATTCTCTTGCCCATTAAGTTTTCACTTACGAAGCGCTTTTAAATGTTTACCAGTGCGGTAGAGTGGTTAAGAGGGTGCGATTTGAGTTGGAGGAGCCCCTTTCACCCTTCCTGGGTCTGTTTCTCATTTGCAAAATAGAAATCAGAGAAATGCCCTAAAGGACTGACAGCGCAGCTTAAAGAACTTTATCTGCGTTCCTCTGTGTCTGTGTGTGTGTGTGTGTGTGTGTGTGTGTGTGTGTTTCTGTGTGTCTGTGTGCTTTACAAGTGCCATATGGGTAATAGGCATTACCCATGAACTGTTTGCTTTTCTTAAGAGGACAAGGTTGCTGGAGATTGCTGAAAATACTTATGCAAAGTGGAAAGTCCTTTCGAAGGCAAAGACACTGGGTTTTAGGTTTTTAGTCAGCTGTAAGTGCTACTTTTAAAACTCCTTTGCTAGTTCTTGAAGGAGCTCTAGACAAGAGTTCAGACCTTGTTTTCTTTAGCTTTAGCAATAAAGAACATAATGTAATTAGGCAAAGTACTTGAAAACTGAAGACTAACACAGTAGAGGCCTCAAGTATTTTCATGCTTGTTGGAATTTTAACTACTATTTTAAGAAGCAATTGGTTTAAAGGATAGCCATGAAGTTGCAGATGTAAAGGCAATCGGAGAAATGTGTTGTCTAAAACACTTCAAGTTATTCAAAACTATTGGTAATGGTAACCAAGTTTTCCAATTTCATGAGGCTTGGTCTTGCTAAAATATGATTAATGATTGAACAATAGAAATATTTAATTCTCTCAAACTGCTCTTATAGCATCAGATTTTGAAATCATTCTTACCAACTCGTTCAAGTCTATGGTTAATTAGTGGAAATAAGGGAGTCTTAGCAACAACAACAAAATCACAACGCTCAAATTTAGTAAAAATGAAAACATTGCAAAATACTCATTACTTCTAATACTCATACTTCCCATTAGTAAGTTAACTCCCTAAACCTTTTGTAACTTTGGATGATACAGTCTTTCAGTTACATTTTCATATTTCATTTATCCAAGGAGATAAAAACTAAATTGGGTGCTTTATTCTGTAGATAAATTCAACTTAAATGTGACGGAGACGAAAAGGAACAAGTTGACATGTACCTAGGTGTCAGAATTGTTCAAGGGACGATTCAATGCTATTTCCACAGTTGTTCAGGAGAAATGAGGTTTGACTCATACAACCGCAGCACTGTTTGCACTGGAAAATTATATTCACAGGACCGCAGGGATGCCTGCAAGCCGGAAGACCATTTCCAATTTACCCCTCCACACCCTGCTTACCTTCAATGAACACCTCTGCTGATGTGGTGTCTGAGCCGCTGGGGTTTGTAGCCAGGCACGTGTAGCGACCTGTGTCGTCCTCAAAGGCCTCGGCAATGACCAAGGTGTGCAGCTGGTCACCGTCGGTGTGGATGTGGATGTCAGGAGTGTTGTACAGTTCCTTCCCCTCACAGAACCATCTGCAGGACAAACAGACAGCAGGGATGACAGAAGAATGGGCGAGGCATACGATAAAGCTGAGGCTAGATGCTAAGTAAGGCTCGCATTATGTCGGGAGATGTTTGCGTGATAAAAGTTCTGTGGCAGTGTTATGCATGGAAACCAAAACTAGACCGTGAAATTAATGACTAGACACACCTACCCCATGAAGATTTTCTTCATAAAGCATCTTGCACATTTTAGTCACCTTAAAATAAGTGACCTTGTTGAACTTCTAAAGACTGTTTTGATTACAAAATTAAGGAACTAAAACTCAAAGTGTCTTATAATGTTCTAAAATGAAAGACTTCCACGATGGTTACATTTTTTTTACCTAGTAGTCTTATGTAAGGAAAAGCATAAAAGGAATATAAACTTTATGTTCAAACTATCTACAGTGCTCAGGAAACATGGTTATTAAAGTAATATCTATTGACCAGCAAGATTTCCAAGCACTGAGCAGTATAGAATCTGCCTTCACACTGCTCATATTTACAAAGGTCTCTAGCTAACTGCTTTGCTCTCCTTGATGGAGAGAGAGGGAGGAACTGAGCTGTGACTCATTCTTGCTGGTCAATACTTTCCTTCCCTAATGGTCAAGACATTGTGGCAGGGGCCTGGAGCTGATTGACAGGGGTTCCTCCCATGGTCTTTCTTCTGTTTCTCTAGCTCCTCAAACTCAACAGCATCCTGTCACTTTTACATAAAACAAAACAGCTATGTTCACCTCAAACCTGCTAGATTTTTTTTTGAGGAAAGGTTTACCTGTGTAGCTTTGGAGCCTGTCCTGGAACTAGCTCTTGTAGACCAGGCTGGTCTCGAACACACAGAGATCCACCTGCCTCTGCCTCCCAAGTGCTGGGATTAAAGGCGTGTGCCACCATCACCTGGTGTTTGATGTATTCTTAAAGAAACATGCTAGTTGAAACTAAGAAGTCCAGAGATTCTGGGAATGTATTTTCCATTCATCTTTTAACAACACAAGGCAGGACTCAGAAATTGGTTCTGAGTCTGATTGTCAGTAAAATTCTCTGGGCTTGGCAACCTTTTGTGAAAATATGAAAACACTGGGGACTAATTTTTTATTTGGAGTCCCTGGGTGTAGGTCTATATTTAATTTGAAAACAAAGTTAGTGAAGCAAAGGTCTTGCTAATTCTCAGAGCACTAGCCCCAGAAGCCATATTAAAAGTCACATGCCTATAATAACAAGAGAACAGCCATGACTTCGGGATTTAAAGAAGGTAACACAATGAGCCAACATTGTAATGTAATGTGGCTCATGTCATTTGGGGGCATTCTTTTTTTTTTTTAATTCTGTGTGATAGTTCTTGTTGCATAAAGTCTTGGAGATCCATCCAACTTAAAGCTATGCCATATCCAGTTTCTTCTCTCTTCTCAGAGCCATAGTCCAGGTAGGACTAAGTGTGGTGTTAGCTTTAGTTGATCACTCTAGCTCTACTACTGAATAAATGATGAAACTGTGTCTGTCATCAGACTAATGCTCCTGAATTTCTTCTGCCTGTCACTCCTTGAACTTCAGATCTGTCACTGATGGCTTTGTAGCAACTTCACCTTAGTTTTATTTTCCATTGTTCTTTTTATGATAAGCTTCTGTTTCTGTCAAGTATTGCAGGAGCTCACTATGGCATAGCCCTCGATGGCTACTCTCCTACCATTTTTACCCATGCCTTCCATTCTTTGGAATTCTTTTCTGGTTCTCTGAATTAGTCCTTGTTGCAATCAACCCCTCAAAGACTTGCTCAACAGACAAAACTTCAATTGGACGCATAACCAGTTATCTATGAGAAAAGCAGAGAATTGTGGAGTTTGTGTATATGTTTCGGCTTCCAGGAAAAAGATCTAAACCTTCCATTATAGGAAAATGAATCATGAAAAGGTACAGAAGGTATAAGAAGTGGAAGTTGATGATGACCACACAGTGGAGGTAGCTCAATAGGAGGCCGTAGACAGCTACACAAGTGTGTGTGGAATCTCACCCCCTAATTCTACAATTTACAGCCTGCAAACCTGCTTTAGCATGGTTGTCAGCAAATCCTGCCTTCTACACGTTAGAATTGACTGAGAGGGAAAAATCAAAAGAAGAATATTTTGTGACACTGAAAATTACAATAGCCTCAAACTTTGGAGTCAGTATCTGTTTTTTTTTTTCTTTTAAGTACACACACTCATTCATTGCCTTGTGACTGCTTTTGTTTTATGATGGTGGAGTTGGGAAGGAGTTGCAGTAGACTGTACAGTGCTGAAAACACACTTCCTCTACTTTCTAGGAAAAGTTCACCGATGCTTGTTTTTTGTTTCCGGTACAATAGACCTTGGGACAGCGGCCTCAGCACCACCCGGGAGGCCATTAGACACACAGAATCCTGACCCTCTTCCTAAGCCTACCACATCACTGAGGATCCCTGAGTGCTTCATGTGACTATAACCTTTAAGTGAGGACCTCATATGCCCTGGTCATGCTAACTTGTATCAACAAATCCCCATTCTCCATCCTAAGACCACCAGGCTTCACCTCTCTGGTCTCTTGCAAGTAGGCACATTTACAGTTCTTTTGTTTTCCCATCAGTTCTTAAAAACTTTTAACAACACTTCACTTATTTGATAATTGACCACTACTACTTTTAAAAAGATTTATTTATTTATCTATTTTATATGTTTGAGTGTTTGCCTGCATGTATGTATGTGTACCACATGCACTCTTGGTGCGTGTGATGGACAGAAGAGGGTGTCAGATCCCCTGGAACTGGAGGTATGGATGGTTTCAAAGCACCATGTGGTGCTGGGAATTGAACCTGTGTCCTCTGCAAGAATGACAAATGCTGAGACATCTCTGCAGCTTCACTTACTACTATGTTTTTATAGCTTCTGTATTATTTTCTTTTATCATTGTTCAATAATTAATGCCTTTCTATCTTATTTCTCTACCCGGAAAATGGACTACCTTTTTATTGTGATAATTTCATATATCCATTATAGCATATTTTGATCATATTTCTCCCTCACTTTCTTCCCTCAAGATTCTCCCATATGCCCTCTATGCTTCTCTCTGATTACATTTTTTGAGATAGTGTCTTACTCTACAGCCCAGACTGGCCTGGAACTTACAGTGATCCTCCTGCTTCAGTCTCCCGAGGGTGCTATGATTGCAGGACAAGGTCACCATGCCTGGATTAATAGCTTTTCCTTCCCAATTCTTATCCACCTTTCTTATATGAACTACTTCTTTATTGCACAATAAAATGGATTTAGAGCAATTTTTATTGACCACAGTGTGCAGCAAAGTAATGGGTCACAGTTTACTCCATGGTCACTCAGCCTTTGAGGTTTACGGTTTGCTTTTCTTGACAAAGGCTCTGAGAAGGCCTGCAGAAAAATACTGTACAATGTTGTCTGATCTAGCATTTGCTGAACTTAAAAAAACATGGGGTTCTCACATTACTACCTACTAAAATCCTATGTGCATATTATAGGATGCTTTTCTAGAATACCAGTTCCACAGAACTTGTATTTTTAAGACAAACTATGTAATAGCTGTCAGTATAAGACTAAAAGAATCCAAGCACAGTACACAATACCAGAAATATACTTTAAAGAGTATACTTTTTTTATACCAAAGTCACATAAGTGCTTTCTTCCTTACAACACAATGGAATTAATACCTTGCGCTTATCAAGATTATTGTACTTAGTTTTTCGTATTAGAGACATCTAATGCTACACACACACACACACACACACACACACACACACACACACACTAACATATACACACACACAATTTTTTAAGAGGTGAGATCTTTGATACAGGTTCTTCGGAAGCCCAGGCTGGCCTTAACTCACTGTCTCAATCCAGCACCTTCCAAGGCCGACCCTGAACTCCTGATATTCCTGCTTCTGTTTTCCAAGTGCTGGTGCCACAGGCATGTGCCCTTCCACTCATACTGAAATCAGTCATTCCTGCACTTTCCCATTGTATTAAACTAAAGTTTCTTGCGGATTTATGGCTTAGTCTTTTAGACACGTTCACTGGGCTCTGCAGAGTGGTGTGCAGAGTGTACTATTGTAGCCACCTTTCATTTTCTGTGCTTCTGTTGTTTTGACATCTGGAGTCTTGTAGCCATGGAGAAACTGTCCTTCCCAGGGTCAGTCAGTACCACGAGGTCTTAAAGTGGCCTGCAAGCATGCCTTTCACATGCAACCCAGCCAACCCAGAGTGCCGACTCCTGTCACCTTTTCCATTGGGCTTTTACCCAGGGCCACCGCCTGCTAACCTTTCCTCATGGTCTCTTAGCCAGGTACGGAAAAGTAGGGAAAGGCCCTGTTCCTTGGACCCCACTGACTCATCCAAATGAGCCAACCACCAATTGGCTCATCCTGCTGCCTATTCCCATCCTTCCTATAAAAACTGTAACATTGGCTTCTATCCACAGATTCTCTGCCCTCATTTGGCCTTGCAGTTGGCTTAGTTCTTCTCCCAGTTGTGTGACTTTGTCTCCTCCTTTTGTGAACTATAAGTATAAATGGTCTCCCTTTCCCTCCTCCCTTCTCCCTTCTTTCCCACAGGGTCTCCCTATACTGTCCTGGCTGGCCTTTAGCTGGGAGATCTCCTACCTCCGACTCCCTAGTAATAAACTACCTTTTAACTGCAGTAAGCTCCTGGCCAGTTGGACTCACAATAGCTGACATTTCAAGACTTGGACCATCGCTGGTGCATTAATAAAGCAACAAGTGTATAAAAGATGAAAGGGCTGAACAGATCGTTTAAATCATATCAATGTCCTAGATTTTGCTTTAGAATGTTTATGTCGAGAAGTTCATGCACTCTGACCAAGTCAAGCTGAAGTGTACTTTACACGCATAAACTTAAAACAACGTAGTTAGTGCATGTGTGCCTCAAGAAAGGAGATCAGCCTTGATCACTCTTCGTGCAGCTTGCAGCAGATGTAAATGACCTTCTTTG